GGATCACCTGAGGTCAGGAGTTCGAAACCAGCCTGGACAACATGGTGAAACTCCGTCTCTACTAAAAATACAAAAATTAGCCAGTGTGGTGGAGCAGGCCTGTAGTCCTAGCTACTCAGGAGGGTGAGCACAAGAATCACTTGAACTGGAAGGCAGAGGTTGTAGTGAGCCAAGACCAGACCACTGCACTCCAGCCTAGGTAATACAGCAAGACTCTGTCCTCCAACAAAATAAAAAAAAAAAAAAGGTAAAAACACTCTAAAATTTTAAAGCATATTTTAAAAGTTTAGGAAGAATGATACCAAACTAATAACCACTGTGTTAAAGATGACACAAGATAATTCTAAATTCTATAAAATACTGTTCTGATAATTTTATTATTCAAAAAACATTTAAAAAGAAAAACTTACCACGGGCTAAAAGTTCAGAGAGAGTACATTCTATTCTCTAATTCATAACAAAATTCACATGCTCACAAAAGTAATAGTTAAGTTTAAAGATATAGATAAGATAGGGAGAGAAAAAGCAAATGAGAGATGCAAGAATTTGAGGAGTTTAGTAACGGAAGCATTTCAAGAGGTAAACCAGATGTTTCCATAGAAGTGCAGCAGAGACTCCAGGAGACAGAAAATCATAATGTCAATAGCTGTACTCAGATCAAACAGCATAAAAGTAGGGTCCAGCCACTACAGAAATGTCCACTATGCTCAAAGGATCAAGCCACTCTATGCTCTCAGCAAAACCCAAAATTAAAATCATCTGAAGGTTGCTGATTAAGAAAGTACTGGAAAGAGGAGAAGATTACCTCCTCAAACATTTCACTGGTAATTGGAAGTTTGGCAATTGGGTCAATATACATAGGTATCAAAAGCATAATTTAAGTCAATAGTGTCTCATTTGAAGCTGTAAAAAGTTACTAACAGCGACTGGTATATATCCATTTTATTTGCTTCTGCTGTCGCCATCATGCCTTCCTTTCCAAGCATCTCTCTCCTGCTTTACTTTTACACAGGCAATGTTTTAGACAATGATGTAGACACTCCCTCCAAAAGCCTCTCAAAACCACATGAAAAACTCCTTAAGATATTCCTGTCTCCAGAGACAGCCCAGTCCAAATGCCCTCACAAAACACTCCCTAGGTCTGTATCACATTTCAAGAGGATAAGAGATGCAAACCCTGGTTAAATTGCTCACAAAAAATAGGTAAAAGGTAAAAATTAATCCAAGTGTTCTGTACCTATTAAATTTACCTTCCCTACAAAATGTGCCATATACATAGCACGAAGCTACTTAAGCTGGGAATGTTTGGTTATTTGAGGGGTGAAAGTCTTACTTTCTAATCGCCTGTCACTTTTATTCAGCAACCTAATCAAGAGAATATAAAATGAAATGTTGTAATACGTGGTTTGCTATGGTTGTGACCCATGAATTTTTTTCATAGAGAACTATGCTTAGATGATAATCATCTGACACTGAATTATGACTAGTACATTAAGTGCCTGTCCAGAGAAGATCAATTAAATTTCCATGAATGTTAAAGGTCAAAACATCTCAGAGTACCTACCACCTACTAAACAATAACATTTTACAGATGGTGTCATAAAAAATTTCAATAGACCTCTGCTCTTCTATCAGGAATAAAAGCAGAGAAATCCATGCCCCACACATTAAAAAGAATGCCTTTTCATTGTTTCATGTTCTACATAATGAATTTATCTCCTTAGTATAGAGATCAGTCTGCTTCATGCATATTTACTCCAATTTTCAACTTCACTTGTGTACTGCTCTGCTCTGGCTGCCATTACAAAACAACATAGACGACGTAGCTTAAATGACAGAATTGTACTGTCTTACAATTTCTAGAGGCTGGGAAATCTAAGATGAAAGCGCCAGCCAATTGTGTTCCTTGTGAGAGACCCTTCCTGGCTTGCAGATGGGTAGTCATTTTCTCACTGTGTCCTCAGATGGCAGAAGGAAGAGTCAAACTCTCCTGTACCTCTTCTTGTTAAGGACACAAATTCCTGCTCTCATTACATCATCTAACCCTAACTACCTCCACAAAGGCCTACCTCCAGCTATCATCACATTGAGGGTTAGAAATTAGACATAAGAATTTCAGCAAAATGTTAAACATTCAGCCCTTAACAACTTTACCTTTCTCAATTTGGTGATGGTATGTGAGCAAGGGGATGGATGACATAAATTAAAATTTTTTATTTAAGCCATAAATGTTGTAATAAGAAATTGTTGATATCAACGTTCACAAAAAAGACTAAGAAAATAATACCAAAGGTAGGTAAAGCAAAACACAATCTCTGGTTATGAAGATGCTATTTTATAAATGCTAAAGGTCACATTAGTACTTGGTGACTTATATAATCCAGGCAGGTTACATATGTTGAATTCTAATTCTAACTATCCTTGTTTTTTTCTAAAGCCACAGGAATGATTAATAGTAGCCCATATTTATTCGTAATTTAGTATGCAGTAGCCACTTTGCATGTATTTATGTTAATCTTCCCAACAGTTCAACAATAAGACTACTGTTTTCTGCCCCATTTTATTTTACAGGTGAGGAAAGTCTAAGCATTGTCCCCTACAGTAGTACAACTTTAAAATACAGAGTTTAGAAAAAGAGAAATAAGACGTGTCACTAATAATTCCATTTCTGCAGAAAGAACTAGTCAAAAATCTATAGCTTTTCATTTGACTATTAATAAAAGGAACCTGTCTTTGTTCTATGTTTTAATCTCAAAGAGATGCTCTTACACAACCACTGGAAAAAGCCAAGATGAAACTGGGCGGAAAGGATCAAGTTCTCCCCAGATGGAAGTCCTACAGACTTGAGGGCTTTTTCAAAAGTATTTGATTGAAAGTAGAAAAAACAGACAGTGAATCTTCTAAAATATATTCACTGTAAAACTGTTCTTTATGGATCCCTCCTAAAGTGAAGACCTAGAATGAACACAATTTTAAAGCAATCTCCAAAAGACACCGTGATTCTTCCCTTTCTTCAATTAACATGAACTTTAAAATTACCTTGCAGCAATTCTATTCCTATTATTCCAAAGAAACAAGATGATGCATTTCTCCTTAGCTACTACTGTTATTTCCTGTTAAGCAACAGTCCTTAATGTTACATAAAACTGCTGCTAGACAATTACTGATGGGAAGGAAAAACACAGAAATCTGGTATATCATGAAATCTTTTCCAGACTCAGAATTATGACCAGTGCTAAAATTCAAAGATTGAAGGAAATAGATAAGAGAATCATTCTTTTGAACTGTACACATACACTACAGGAAATATGCATAGCATGAAAACAACACAGCATTTTACAGTGTTTATAAATCAACATCCTGCAGATGTTATCATTGGGAATATCCACAATTTGTTCAATTATAAAATGTTTTAAATTGTCATATTAACAAGAAACTCGTATCTGCTTCAAATGCTTTTTTGGAAGGAGTATGTAAATCATAAATATCTGCTGTACAGTCGAGAAAGAATACTAATTTACTATTTATTCGTAACGGGTACGTCTTAAAATGTATTTTTCCCAAATGTTTTCATACAGAGTATAGATGCAATGTGAACCAGAAAAATATTCACAAAATGTAGCTGTAGCACAACTTATTTGGTATCATGCAAATCACTCAGTCTTTAGGTTATAAAGGACTGTGTGTTTTCCCTCTCTTATCTGTTTAAGATAAACTTCAAATTCTGATTTCTTATGATGTTTGATATAAGAAATCAACCAGGAGGATACCCTACAGAGAAACAGAACATCTGGTGAAACATGTAACATGCCTCAGGATTATGTCTGCTACTAAGGTTAGTGTACAATGTGAGAGCTGCAATCTCTGTGTTAATCGGTCAGTAAAAGCATAACAAAGAACTAAACAAAAGGTAGTAAGAAGGCTGTTCTTCAGCCACAGAATACTTTCTTTTTCTCAGCAATGTGCGAGCAACTGGGACTCACACAGTATTTGGAGAAATAATTCCATAATAAGTATACACTTTGTTTCAAAACACGTAGCTGTTCAATAGACTACTTCCCCCATAAGAATATTAATTACATCCCTTCCCCAAATATATTAACCTAGGCATTCATCAAGACAGGATGTATGCTGTTTCTTTGTCTGTGATTCATCAATCTATTGTGCTTTTATTTTTCAACCCACCAATAAAAGAAGTTGGAGAAGAATAGGAAAGAAAAACTGAGCAAGTCCAGATGACCAGGAGAGATGGCATTATCAACTCAAAAAGGCACACAATGCTCAGCAGCCTTGCTCCTCCATTTGTTTTTGACTTTCAATTTTCTGCCATAAACAGCAACAACAAAATTCTATGATTACTTCGGTATAAACTGCCTTACATTTGTGACATTTTTTAAAGCCCCCACTGTTTCATTAAAGGTTCCCAAACAAGGAAAGATCTGCACAGCAGGAGAACTCACTTGGATTTTCTGACAGCTGTGAAGGATCAGTCTCCTAAAGTAACAGAGATCAACCGCAAACTGAAAACTGTTTAGAAATAAAATGTTTCCATCACCTCACACTATCAGCTACTTCCATTAGTAGCCATGAAAAAGACACTGGATTTTACCCAGTATTTTCATACAATAAACTTTACTGACAGTAGAAAAGAGAATACAATTACAAACTAATCCTATTATTAAACATAGGAAGTCATCAATGAAGAGAAAGATTACTTCTACCTCTTCTCTACTGGACTAAACTAATCACAAAAGCCTTATAGAACAGTTTACAAATGTTACTCATGAAGCTTATTTTGGGCTCCATATTATGAATTAAAACATTATTACTTAAAATATAAAAGCTCCTGAAATACCACAGGGGAAAAGAGGAAAAAAAGAAAAAAAAAATTAAAATATAAAAGCATCTCAAGTCAATGATAAGCACCATGGAATGAATTTTGTCTGTCTCTGAACACCCTGACTACCTACTTATCAGAAAGGATAATACAATCCACATACCCTGGAGACCAAATGTGTTCCAGTCATCCATATTACAATAAAAATAAAGAGGTTGTGGGCCAGGTGCAGTGGCTCACACCTATAAATCCCAGCACTTTGGGAGGCGGGCAGATCACTGAGGTCAGGAGATCTAGACCATCCTGGCTAACAAGCTGAAACCCCATCTCTATTAAAAATACAAAAAATTAGCCGGACATGGTGGCACGCACCTGTAATCTCAGCTACTCGGGAAGCTGAGGCAGGACAATCACTTTAACCTGGGAGGCGGAGGTTGCAGTGAGCCAGGATTGTGCCACTGCACTCCAGCCTGGGTGACAAAGTGAGACTCTGTCTCAAACAAACAAATAAATATAAATATAAATATAAAATTAAAAGGTTGTGAAAAGAAAAATCAGTCATTACAGAGTCAGTCGCAACTCCAGTTCTTGATTTCTGCCAATATTTCCTGAGCACTTAGCTCTATTTCTAGACTCTATGGTAAAAGCTGGCATAGCCGACTAAATTAAATCACATTCCTCGCCTCCAAGCGGTTCAGAGTATGGGTTTTTTCTGTTTGTTTTTTTTTTGTTTGTTTGTTCGTTTTTTTTTTTTAAAAAAGGGGCCACATAAACAATACCAGGTGATCAACAGATTGTAGGGTACAGAATTAATGCAAAGGGGACAACTATGGGGACAGGGGAATTAGGAAAGGCTTTGCAGAGGAAATTTTACCTGTGCTAGGTTTTGAAGGGTGGACAAGAGTTTGCCAGGCCAAAAAAAAAGTGAAAGCAGTATTTCAGCCAAAGGAAACCACTGGGCAAAGGGATAAAAATGTAGATAAATTTTTAGGGTAATCTTCAAACAATTTTATACTATATACAGGAGAAAGAACAAAAAATAAACTAGGCCTGAGCCATATCTCAAAGGGCCACAGGCCAGGGAAACTTAGACTTTAATGAACTGGCAAGGTAGTGTCAGAAAAGGGTTTAGTTGGAGAGCAACACTCAAACTTCTGTTGTAAGGTATTACTTAGGAGTAGAGGATGGAATAAAAAGGAAAAGACATGAATGAGGAAACCTATTAAGAGGCTACTACAATAATTCAGGCACAAGATGATAATGAAAGCCTGAAGTTAGGTTCCTAATGTGAACAAAGTGAATAGAGAGTTAACATGAAAACTGGAACATAAGCAAGAACTGTATGTGTTACCTTTAAATGGGGCTCATGGAAAAATAAGTGCACCAACAAGAAAACATCAAAATTCCAGAAGGCATTTTAGGTCAGATACAGTACTAAAGAATATTCCAAAACTATCTAAATTAATAAGAATCAACAAAGTTTACAAATTCACAAAAATGACTCAAAGTCTCCATCTTACTTGCTGAAAGTTTTGAGCTCCTGCATAAGAAAAGCAAATCACAAATTGATAGCACTAAATTCACAAATCAACAGTGTAATCTCCAAATTTTTAAATAAATGCTACAATTTATAATTACATTGTTTCATTACTATATCACATAAAAACAAAAGTAGGAATTCAAAAAAATCGATTTGTCTATTTGTCCATACCTTATGAAGGGTCAGGAAACATTTGTTTAATTTGGGGCATTTTTATAGGATTTTAAAACTGCACCATTTCCAAAATATTTTTTCCCATGCTGCTTTCATTTCTGAAATAATTTTCCAACCTATGGTAAACCATCTAAATTCAAAGGAAAAAAAAAACCCTCTAACAATGAGGGTTGCTAAGTTATTTGTGTACTCCATGATTCCTCTTAAAGACACTTAGAAATACCATCATGAAAGCAATCACTCATTTAAATAAGAGACCTGAAATTCCAAGATGCCCATCTAGAATGAATCAGTTCTGACTACTGTCAGCATATACTTATGATACAAGCAAAGGATACTTGTAAAAAATAAAGTACTTTAGAAGGTCCAGACCTTCTAAATATTCTGACCACAGCTTAAGTTCAAAACAATAAACAATGCAATGAAACAATATAAAGATAAATATCACATTTAACAGTTCAATTTAACTCATAATTTCCTTCACTTATATAAGATACTCACATTATCGGGGAACACTGAAGAACCATACCTGAATTCTAAGGGAAACATTCCAAAAATTTTGCAACACGCCACTACTGACAAACCTACCACAAGCTAGACAGTAGTAAAATACCTTTTACAGAACATGCAGTATGCTTGAAACACAGAATGATGTCTTATCTCGCTGGTATTCAGACCTGAGATAAGCGTTATAAAACGGCTAGCTTTATAGGACAATTTCAGCATACAAATGTTCTGATATATATAGGGCTTTAAAAAATCTTGAAATTTCACATAAAAAGTGGGAACAACCAAAATCCCCATTGACAGTAGAATGAAAAAATAAAATGTGATATATTCATAATAAAGAATATAGCAATGAAAAATGAATGAACTACAGAGAATGAACCTCACAAACAATGCTGAGTAAAAGAAGCAAGACATAAAAGATACACTGTCATTACATTTATAAAGTTTAAAAACCAACAAAATTAAATTCATAATGCATGTAAACACAGTTGGAAGAACTATAGAAAACTGAGTTTCATAAAAGTCAATATACTGGCTACTTGAAAATAAGGGGTATCAACAGAAACACTCAGGGGGAATCTGTGGTGCTACCCACATTCTATTTCGTGACCAAAGTAATGGTTATGTAGACAGATATTTGCTTCATGATTATTAAGTTGTACATCTGTTTGATGTACCTCTCTTATAAATATCTTTCGCAACACAAAGTTTTTAAATGTAATATGGAAAAGTAATATTCTTAAATGACACAAAATTTTCAAAACTAATGGGTAGTATCTTGATTTTAAAAATAATAAAAACATGTAAATGATGCAATTGCTTTGAAAAACAGTCTTGTAGTTCCTCAAGATATTTCATGTCAGGTTACTGTATGACCCAGCAATTCCCTCCTAGGAATATACCCAAGAGAAATGAAAGCAGTGTCCACACAATTTTGTACGTGAAGATTTATAGCAGCATTATTCATAATAGAGAAATGTTCAGATGAATAACAAAAATGTATTACTTACATATATTAATGGACTACTACTCAACGATAACAAGGAACGAAGTTCTGATATAAGCTGCATTATGAATGAACCTTGAAAAAATTATTTTAGTGAAATAAGTCAGAGACAAAAGGAAAAATATTGTATGATGCCATTTACATGAGTTATCTAGAAAGGATAAATTCAAACTCATAAAGACAGAAAGTAGATTTGAGGATACCGGAGACTGGGAAGGAAGGGGAAATGAAGTTATTGCTTACTAAGTACAGTCTAAGTTTGAGATGAGGAAGTTTTGGAAATAGTGGTGATGGTTGCACATCAATGTGAATATAATTAATGCCACTTGATTATATATTTAAAAATTGTTAAAATGAAAACTTCTATGTTATATAAAATTCACCACAATAGCCAGGCGCGGTGGCTCACGCCTGTAATCCCAGCACTTTGTGAGGCCGAGGCGGGTGGATCACGAGGTCAAGAGATTGAGACCATCCTGGTCAACATGGTAAAACCCTGTCTCTACTAAAAAATACAAAAAAATTAGCTGGGCATGGTGGCATGTGCCTGTAATCCCAGCTACTCAGGAGGCTGAGGCAGGAGAATTACCTGAACCCAGGAGGTGGAGGTTGCGGTGAGCCGAGATCACACCATTGCACTCCAGCCTGGGTAACGAGCGAAGCTCCGTCTCAAAAAAAAAAAAAAATTACCACAATAAAGATAAGTATTAAAAAGGGAATAAGGTACTGATACATGCTATAACAGAGGTGAATATTGAAATATTACGCTAAATAAAAGAAGCTAATCATGGCTGGGCACCATGGCTGAAGCCTGTAATCCCAGCACTGTGAGAGGCCCAAGCAGGTGGATCACTTGAGGTCAGGAGTTTAAGACCAGCCTGGCCAACACAGCAAAACCCTGTCTCTACTATAAATACAAAAAAAAAACTAGCCAGATGTGGTGGCAGGTGCCCATAATCCCAGTTACTTGAGAAGCTGAGGCAGAAGAATCACTTGAACCCAAAAGGCAGAGGTTGCAATGAGCCAAGATTGTACCACTGCACTCCAACCTGGGTAACAGAGACTCTGTTTAAAAAAAAATTCTTTTAAAAAGAAGACTATCACAAAAGACCACATATTATATAATTCCACTCATATGAAATATACAAAGTAGAGAAATCTATAGCAACAGAGTATAGATTAACGGTTTCTTAGGGCTAGGACCAGGAAGTGGGAGGTAGGGGACAGGAAGGTGAAAGCTAAAGTGTAACAGCGTTTCTTTATAAGGCACTAAAAATGCTCTCAAATCAACTCTAGTGATGGCTGCACTTATCCATGAATATACTAAAAATTATAGAATTGTACATTTTAAATGGGTTAACTATAGAATATAAGAATTACACCTCAACAAAACTGTCAAAAAAATAATGTGTAAAATATGTCAATACAAGTGAGACTAATGCTTCAGCCTCATCTGTTTAGAAATAATAATGCAAATAGTAGAAAAATTCAAATTATATGTTTTAAGATCTATAGATTTCTGAATTAAGTAAATAAACATGCCTATGAGCTGAATATATAAACAGGTTTCATTCCTTCGTCTAACAATTAATTACAATCGACTATTCTTAAGAACCAAGAACAACTAAAGCCAAAGAAAATAAGTGTAATATAAAAGGGCTCAGTGATACGGGTTGTGTATCGGTTCATTTATGAAAGTACTAAAACCAGTGCATTGCTATTACAAAATCATCAACAACTCTGGAAACCATGTTTATATTTATTAAAAACTCAAATGTAGTCAGAGGCTGCATCATACTGAAAGGTCAGATTTCTTGGATTTTAGTTAACCAGTATTAGTAAAATGAATACTACAACAGGAAAAGGATATATAATATGAACATAACCCAGAAGATGCAAGAGGTCTGACAGCTGGTGGCTTGATAATACCATATCTACCCCTCCCATATGTAATAACATATTCATATCTGTAATAATCCCTATCAGTTTAATATCTGTTTAAAATAATTTCTATATTCAGAATTATTAC